TTGTTTCTTACTTTATAATGCATATGTTACAGATCAAACTTTTGTTGCACAGATATGATAAAAGAAGCAAAGCTGTTGAAATTTATATACCAAGATTCACAAGCCAATGTATATTACACAGTGACTTCTGGTTTAAGCAATATTCTGTTTACAATGCTTGCATGTATAAAGTGTAAAGTTACTAATCAACCTGTGATAATACTTTGTCAGATTCAAAGAGTAAAGATTATACCTTCGATTCAGGGTTTTGAATACAATAGCTCTCGAGTTAAATGAATAATACTGTCAGAATTCCTAGAAGACAAAACTCTGACTTGTGCCTCAGCAAGAATTTATCAAGATGCAGGAAGGGGGAATGTTTACTGTGTAATTTATCCCATTATTCAAAGAACTTGGGTTGTATTTTTTGAAACACCAGTTTCTGTACCATATTCAGATTTTAATTCTAAGATATGAGCAGGTTGAAAACACTCACTCTTCTGCTTGGTTTGAACCTGCTCTGAGATGTGATGACCACAGGCTGAACAGCAATCTTCCAGCTCAGAGAGATTACTAATGACTCATAGTAGTTTCTAGGAACAGGAGCAGAGTGAAGCAAACCCTGTCCTCAGAACAAGAGCAATTGCAGTAATGTAGAGAAGATTGGTGTAGATCAGTGGTTTTCAGCGTACAGGTTGCCTTGCTGTATGGTGACCAATAGGGGTGTTAAAGCAGGCTTTCTGCTTTTCTTGCACTGTGGATTATACCGCAAGTCTGGCTCCTAGGCAGGGGGGGAAAGCTGGGGCACAGGGTTGTGTGTGCTGCCCCCATCGCAAGCACCAGCTCTACACTCGCACTGGCTGGGGGGGGGGAGGGGCAGTGTTTGTGGGAGCGAACAACCTACCAGCTCTGAGTTTGCTCCAGCACCGATTCTAACCCTGCCTGAAGCTGCTTCACACACACACACTCCGCCCAGTTAATTTTCACTCCCTCCTGTGTTTAGCCCCTTCTAAAAAGCAAGAAGGTATCGAGTGGGCAGGGCGAAGGGCAGTGGCTTCAACAGAGCTACTGAGCATGCTCAGCGCCCCCAAAGTGGAGCAACCTCATAGGCTGCAGCTTTCTACAAGCCGCGCGCCCTCGCTCTCCGCCTGCTCCACAAGGCCCCAGCTGAGCAACGCGGGTGCCCGGATCCGGCGCTCCTACCCCGCCGGCTACCCGCCGCGCCTCCCCCACGCTCGACTGAACAC